GCGTGCACATTTCTCGACGATCTTGACCCTCATCTTGACAATTTGGGGGGACAGACACCAGTGAGAGAAGCTTCGACCAAAACGCCGCGAATCACAGCAAGCGTATGGCACGATGAGCCAAGGGATATGATTCCAGGTATAGAACTATGGCGCAAAGGGTCTTGACCGGCCACGACACGAGGAGCTCTGTATTTTCCTCGTGTCAAGAATTAATACAAGTTGTGAGCGTTGTTCAGTCCAGAATCTGAGGATTATACTCCCCTCAACAATTATTGAAAGTTCTCGTGAACCCATAGCCTCATACGGGCTTTGGACTGCTCTTTTCTTTGCGGAACCTACCCGGGCGACTAGGAAAGCCAGAACAATGGGGAAATTGCCTGGAGTCGCTGACGATAAACTCAACCAAACCATGTAATCTTGAAACCAATCACTCATAGTGACCTTGGGCCTGTATTATCGTAAAGATGGCCACTTATTGCCGTATATTTTTACAGCAAGATATTTGTAATTTTATTACCACATTCGAAATCTCGGCTACTCCCTCCGATGACCAAGGAACCCAAAAACAGCTATCGTGGAGCTCGCTGTCGTACATGCCACAGACGCGCCCCATTAACTTCAACCGTCCATACCGAAGGCGATGCCCACGCATGCCGAGCCTGAAACCCTCATCACTCAGCCCGACGGAAGCATCGCCATATACTTCTTGATATAGTCGCTCCTAGGGCGTCTTTGCGGCCGAGGCCGAGACTTGTCGATCCGTCCCGGCGCCATCCTGTCCATAAAGTCAAGCTCTCAGCCGACGTCATGCTCTTCCGCTCTGGCTTGCTTGTCCGCGAAGCGATCTATGTCGCCGGAGACCTTGAAGATTGCGGCTGACTCGGCTACGATTATGATCGCGCCTGTGACGAGCAGCTCGAGGACCATTTCGACGAGATGGACTTGGTAGCTTTCAGAGAGGGTTCTGACGGTAAGTGTCGGAGTTTCGGTCTGGTATATGCTTTTGTGTGTGTGTGTGTGTGCTGGTCGGAAGAGTAAGGTTGGATGGGAGTGTGAATGATTATAATCATAGGTGAATTGTTCACTTCAACGTATCCGAGGAGAGCGGTCTGGGGAAATATGACTAGCAGAGGGTACCCCTTTTAATTTGTGTGAGAGGATCGCTATGGTTCATGTCGGAGACAGGTTGTGCGATTTTTATCTTGACTAAAATCATTGCAGGGCGCTGGTGATGAGTCTGGTCTCCGATCGTAGTATGGTGTCAGACTTTTCCAACCGCAAGCTGGTTAAATATTTCCTATATGAAATAAACTTCGATCGATGCGGCCGTTTCTGGGCGCTCTCTGAGAACCAAAGAACTTCGGATTGTGCTGAAGCCAGATGCTCAAAATACCTCAAAGAAGAGCCAGCGCCCGCTCAATTTCTCCCTCAGTAATTTCTTGAGCAAATGTGAGTGCGGTAGCGCATTGGAAAAGGGAAACAGTAGCCGTATTCAGCACAATACAGCCTGGTAGAAATTCTATTTTAGACATAATATTCCAAGCGAAGTTCAAGTTGACCTCATAAATCATTATTGTGAGGGTTTATTTATGCGACGAAATCTCGCCACGCCATGCACACCGACAAGTAATGAGCTTCCATATAGGATCCACCTTGAAATGGGATGTTAAACCATTCGCGGTGCTATTGCGACCTGTAGAAAAGAGATTATTGATTGTAATTCTTGAGTCCTTTGTCTATCAGTTTTTCAACAAGAACCCCCGAGACGCCATCAGTCTATCCATCTATTGTTACCGCAGGTCGAAGTCTGAAGTATTTGCGCCGCCCATGCATGCATTTCCTCCATCGCATTCCCTACTTTATTGCACTTTAGTAAGTCCCACGTAGCAAAACTCGGGATTCGTCGTGATCTTGTCATGTGCGGCGTGTGAGCTGAACTCCCCCGAGAGCTCGCCAAACTGGAAGTTCCACACCAGTAACGCCAGAACGATCCTCGTTTCAAGATACGCAAGTCGTCTACCAAAGCATCCCCGTGGTCCCAGACCGAACGCCATCATCGGCCCCGCATGAGCATCAAAGACCTCGTCGCCCCGCTCGTCCGTCCTGAGCCACCGCTCGGGTCGAAACAAGTGCATGTCCTCGGGATTCCAGCGCCCATATGAGTACTTGGCGCGCGACGTATCGCTTCGCGCCGTGTCAGGCACGGGAATAGAGGGGGACAGAAAGTCGGGTCCGCTCGAGATCATGAAGATGCTGGTACCCTTAGGGATTTTGTGGCCCAGCAGCTCGGTGTCGACAACAGACTCGCGGAGCGTGAGCGGGACAGGCCCGTCCAGGCGTAGCGATTCTTCGAGTACGGCGTCGAGGTAAGGCACGGACGTTTTCCAGATCTCGATTGCCGTGGGTTGCCGCTTTTCTGCATGCGCTGCCGGATATGCTGACCGCATGGCGGAACGTAGTCTATCCTGGACATCTTGGTGGTCGGCGATATTCTTCACCATCCCTAAAAGCATTCGAGGTAAGTATTATGCACCGGGGGAGATTCTTACAGCAAAACGTGACAGCGAACTCAGATGGGAGGGAAGCTCGCTCAAGACTCACATGATAAGGCAGTTGAGCTTGTGTCATGTCCCGCGACGATGTACCCGAAAAGCTAAGCGCATATTAGCACGAGCTGCTGCTTGCGATCAAGGAAGATAACAAACTTCGTCATGTATCCTTTCTGAATGGAACACAGGCTCACGTCCCGCTTTCGAAGCCGCATTCATCTCCCGCTGAAGAATATGGTCCATGGCCGAGCGTGTTTGGGCCTGACCAGTTTGAAGCCTTGCCACCGCCTTGTCGATCTCTTCATGAATGAGCCGGTCTTTGGTGGCGATATTCTGTGCTAAGACCTTGTTCATCATGACCTTATAGCGGTGATGAAACACCGGATACATCGACTTGAATTGGTCGCCAATGTGATCACCTAGAGCGTGAATAGCTGCGATGTCTGGTAGTTCGGGGAGCTCAGGAAAGTGCACAGAGCCATTAGGCTCCGTTGTCACGTCAAGGCTTTCCATGGAAACTAGGGAGTCTAGCTGACGCTTAACTGTGCTCATGTCTTCACCTAGACCGAACGTAACGGCGTTGATGATGTCGATGGCCACGTCGAAGATGTCTCGTCTTGCGTTGAAGGGACGGCCTTGAGCTACTGCTGCCTTCCAACTCCATAAGTCGATCAAAGCCATGGTTTTGGCGTAGATCTGAGGCGCGGAAACCTATCACCATTGTTAGTGAACAAACATTATTCTGAAATAGACGACTATCTCATCTCGTACATCGTGCAGAAAGTTGGGTGTCATCAAGTCTCGGACGAGCTCCTTGTTGCCCTTGAAGCGAGGGTCAGAGGAGGACATGGCAATATGGTGGTTGCCGATGGGTCCTGCAAAAATATCTAAACTCCTCTTTGACCTGTCGAACTCCCTATTCCGCCGTAACAAGATGTCTTGAGTCTCTTGGAAGTCCGCGAGGATCAAAGTAGGCTTTTTCAGGGGCCCCATCCAAATCTGGGTGAGCGCAGACTTGTGCCTCCTCGGATGGTTGACTATCCAAGTCCGTATTCGTCCTGTCCTGGCCAGTTCGGCTCTGATCTCCGGCATGCTGCCAAACAGACTTGCTCGGGCGCTCTCATCGTACGGGATCCCCGGGATGGGTCTCGGCAGCGCCCATCGATACGCAAGGTACACGAGCGAGACGAGTGAGATGAGTATTACGGCATTTGCAGCAGGAGCGCCCACTGCTTGAGCGAGCGGGTGCTGATGATCCATTATCATTTTCGACATCGGGCGTGATGAGGCATCATAGCCAGTTGATCACAGGTGGCGAACAGAAGGAGCAGCCTCTCGCGGTAGGTAGTAAACGATAGAAGCGAAGGAAGACTGGGCAAAGTAGCTATCTCCTAATTCCATCTACACTAAGCAGGTAGTCTGCCGCTTCCTTGACGCTAGCTCACGAAGCGACCAACCCTGCCACGTCTCGGGCCAGCTTTTACTGACTCGGATCCGAAGGAGTCACGGCCCATCATCTGTGACGTTCTCCATCAGTGACGGCTTGGGTGCGACTGAACCAGATGTGGATTTAAGAAATGCGAATCCCACAAGGGCGCACAGACAGGAGCTTCCCTCGCCTTGCACCACGCCCACATGCGTGTGCTCTTCTAGGGACGGCCCAGCATACCAGTAACGACAAAGCCAGCGCTGAATACCGCGCGCCAAACCGGTGACCATCTTCCAGCATGGTTAATTTCCCGGGTGCGGCCGCTAATGAGAATCTCGAAACGTGTACATGGCTCGGGCTTGCGAGGCTGATGAAGCTGTCTAGCCCCATGTAGATGGTCATTGAGATTCAAACCTACCTCTACGTATTTTTGCCTCCACACCCCAAACGGTATCGGTAGTTGTTCCGGGAAATCGGTACTTCGTAAATGCCGCAGCAGTTTCCAGAAAGCTTGTTAGTGAGAAGGGGCAGGTACCTTTCACGGTGTGAGTTCATCATCGACTTGCGATACTCAAAGCCAGATCCAGGCTTGGGGTGAGCCAGCTGGCGGTAGCCTATTTGGAACGACGTAAGTCCACACCGACTTGCGATACCTCGGCAGGCCGTGTAGGCCCACGACAAGGTGGACCGCTTCATATGCTGGCCAAAACTGCCGGTACATGCTTACGGAGGGTCTGCTACCAAGCTAATAATGAATCGCACCGAATTTTTTTTTTGTAAGGGGCTATTATCATGCCGCTGGTGAGGAGGATAGATGTACGAATAGATGTAAGTTCTGCCGAGCACAGGCTGTCAAAGCATCTAGGTACCTTAGCTGAAGCTCTGGCCTGATAGCTATGCTATGAGGTACAAAAATGAAGCAAGAGAGAGTAAGAAATAAAAAGAAAAACAGTTCCTTAATGTATCCTTCCTACCAAGTGGATGACAAGGTTAAGAAAATAAGGGACGCCGTTGGAAAAATACTCCGAATCGGGGAATCGAACCCCGGGCTTGACGGTATTCCGGTGATAAACCATGAGAGCGTCAAATGTTAGCCACTACACCAATTCGGATCAGATGTCTAGTTCGGGCTTTTATCATAAATCATATAGTAATGTCATTTTGTGCCTGCTTAAGTGGGTTCCTCCCGTCTACCCACTTGCGAATCGAAGATGGTAGGTACCTTGGGTACATATTTGAGTGTGTTCGCTATAATTATCCAGTATTCGGGTCCATACTTGCAAGACATATATTGCTGGTCGAACAAGGTTTGAGAGGTCCAATTCTCATTAGAAAGCGACTAGGAGCCATTCCTATTGTATCTATCCCAACGCCGACGCTATGTACTTTCAAGAGCCAAATCGCAGCTACATCTGACACACGAAACCATATCATGCCAAACCTAGGCTCGACCACCACTGCCCGCCTTGAAGCCCTCTAGGACTACAGACCAAGCTCCCTTCTCGCCGCCAGTAGTCGCTTGTCCCGTAGCGATTCTGCGCATGAGGAGCGTGTCCTTTGCCGCGCGTAGCCGCTTGCCCTCACCACTTTCTAGACACTCATTAAACCACAGCTCCTCTTGTGCATCAAAAGGTAGGCTCGTCAACTCAAATGCCTTGGCTGCCAGCTCGTCCTTGTGCGCCGGGGCCGAATCCAGCACGACCACGACGAGTCGTTGAAATAGCTGGCGTCGCATGTAGTCGGCGTGAGAGCGACAGAATTCGAGCGCGTCAATGACGCTGGAGCGAGCAAGCGCGTCGAAGAGTAGGCGTAGAGCAGACGAGTCTTGTAGGACGGGCTGCACAGAGTGGTAGTAGGCTAGAGGGAGTGTATAGTCCCCATTCTTGGCGTGACGTATCAGAACGGTGATAATGTCGTCGGCGAACTCAGGGATTAGTGAAGGGTGCGTCAGGTGTGTCAGAGCAGCCTCGAAGTCTTGAGCATCCATATGCCATAATCCCTTCATAAAAGTCTGATACTTGGCTGGGACGCCGGCGCGGACGGCGAAGGTGTCGGCTTTGGTGCTCTGGAAGGCAACACGGTGATCGAGGTCGAGGAGGAGATAATAGATTATGGAGAGTTTATGCTGTACGTTGATGTTGTTGCTTTCGTAGACTCGTTGGTGTAGCTGTCGAAGAGCATCTTCACTCTTGGGAGGATAATTGGAAGCAGCTGGGTTGCCAAGGTCATTAGTTGTTGAAGTGAGGTGTAATGAGGGCAATGGTCAATACGTAGCAAGCAACCCAAGCAGAGAAGGGGTTGACAAGATAGGAGGAATACCTTTGTCGAGTTTGACAGCTCTCAGTACGCGGTCAATGAAGAGAGAACCTTCATTGCTCTTACGTGCAAGTTCGATTTTCTGAATCACCGCACGGTTGTAAGGGAATGGATCTAGGGGCCCAAAGACCCGGTCGAACTGAGAGAAATCCATTGCGCGGGTCTGTTGGTAGTTGAAAGGTGGCGGAGGTAGACAGCAGTTGTTGAAGGCAAGTGCCAGGTCTTTGTGGGTTGAGCGGGAATAGCTTCAACAGCTCCCAGTAGCTGTCTGCGATTCAGGGCTTTGTCGGGTTGATAGCATGGATTAGGTAGTGCAGCCCCTGCGCGCAAGACAACCTTGGCCAATGCGAAGACTGGGACATATATACATATTTAAGTACTAACATAGACGCGCCAGGGCTGGGGGGAGGGGGAACGCACAGGGCAGGCTACCGCTATGTAGATTGCACTGTTGCAGGAGCGCTAGCCAACGCCAGCATTTGGTGGGGGTTTGTTTATATTTACTTCTGGCCATACAGAATATCCAGACCACTCTCCTGTTCATCAGCGACTAACCCAACCACAGCTTGCGACCGAACATCCTACAACGGCCATTATAACCATAGCCGGATGTGATATAAAAATCGAGCATATACAGCCCTCTTTAGGTGAACGTCACTCAGTCAAATTTATTCCACAACATTGCGCAGATCGATACGGTATACATTAAGTAATGTCTGCTAGACCATACCGTCGCGCGGCTGCGGGCCGACGCGCTCAAATCATCGAATCCGACGACGAAGACGACCTTGTCGCCAACACAACCGCTAAGAAGATCAAACAAGAAAGCGAGGATGAGTTCGCACCGGAGACATCCACGCGATCTGCCCGCAGAACCACCCAGAGCCGGAGGAAATCCGCTGCACCACAAACGGCACGCACCAGTCGTTCTCGAAAGAGTGTTGCGCCAGAGTCTACCGAGAATAGCGAAGTGATTGATCCCGAAGAGTCTGTAGCTACCATCAAAGAACTAGATGAGACTCCACGAAAACCCGTTTCGCGACGTACAAGAAAGAGTGTTGTGCCAGAGTCTACAGAGCCTAGCGAAATGGCCGACCCGGACGCGACTGCAGCCACCGTCATCGGGCCCGAAGATACTCCCAAGAAGCCTGCTATTCGAAAGCGCAAGAGTGTTGCGCCCAGCAGGGCTAGCAAAGAGGCTACCCCCGACAGTCGCCCAGCGTCTCAAGACTCTATGCCCACGCCCGCACCCTCTGAAGAACCGTCTGAACTTCATGGAACGCCGCTGGCTGATATTACCAACCAGAGCATGAACGAGAAGAGATCGTCTCCTGACGATAATATGACCCAGGTGAAGCCCATCCGGGCCATGGACACTATTCTGGAAAGGCCTATGGATATCGTCCTCAAGTCGCGGCAGATGGCTATGCCCGTTGTAGAAGAGACCGGACCCAAGCCTCGAATTGTCATCACCTACCTCATCCTAACCAACTTCAAGAGCTACGCTGGTCGCCAAGAAGTCGGCCCCTTTCATTCCTCCTTCTCGTCGGTCGTTGGCCCTAATGGTTCCGGCAAATCTAATGTCATCGACTCTCTACTGTTTGTCTTCGGCTTTAGAGCCAGCAAGATGAGACAGGGCAAGATCTCTGCTTTGATTCACAACTCGGCCCAGTATCCCAATTTGGATCACTGTGAGGTCGCTGTTCATTTTCAAGAAGTCATGGATATTGTCAGTATCATGCTCTCGTTCCGCGACAATTTCACGTGCTAACATCAAGGCAGCCTGGTGGTGGTACGGAAGTCATCCCCGATTCCCAGCTTGTCATCTCACGAAAGGCGTTCAAAAACAACAGTAGCAAGTATTACATAAATGGCAAAGAGTCCAACTTCACTGTCGTCACGACACTTCTTCGGGAGCGGGGCGTGGATCTTGATCATAAGCGTTTTCTCATCTTGCAGGGTGAGGTCGAATCGATCGCTCAGATGAAGCCAAAAGCTGCAAACGAGCACGACGATGGCCTTCTCGAGTATCTCGAGGACATCATCGGTACCTCCAAGTACAAAACCCCCATTGAAGAATCTGCCGCAGAGGTCGAGACACTGAACGAGGTTTGCATGGAGAAGAGCGGCCGTGTACAGCATGTTGAGAAGGAGAGAAATGGCCTCGAGGACAAGAAGAATAAGGCTCTGGCGTTTATCCGCGACGAAAATGAACTGGCTCTCAAGCAATCCGCGTTATACCAGCTCTACATCAGCGAATGCAACGACAACGTAGCCGTCACCGCGGAAGCTGTCAGTCAAATGCAGGCGCAGCTTGATGACGAACTGGAGAAGCACCAGGGCAACCAGCAGGTCATTAAGCAGCTCCAAAAGGCCTACTCAAAGGGCAACAAGGAGTTTGAAGCCCAGGAGAAGAATGTCCAGGCGCTTGCTAAAGAATCTTCCAAATTCGAACAGGAAAGGGTCAAGTTCGATGAGAAACGCAAATTTTTAACTGACAAGCAAAAGAAGCTGGAGAAGACTATTAATAATGCCGAGAAGTCATCGACCGATGCTGACCAGACAATTGAGCAATGTACCGAGGACATTGCTTCACGAGCCGAAGAGTTAGTAACCCTTGAACAGCAAGTGCAAGAAGAGGAAGCGGAACTTGCAACGATTCGGGAAAGCCTCAAAGGTAAAACACAGGTCTTTTCCGATCAGATTGCTACCAAGCAAAAATCTCTCGAGCCCTGGAAAGAAAAAATCAATCAGAAACAGTCCGCCATTGCCGTGGCCGAGTCCGAGATGGCAATCCTCGAAGAGAAGGCTAATGCCGGAGCGGTTGCCGTCGAGGAAATGCAAACAAAAATCGCCACCATAGAAGAGGGTCGCGAGGCCAAGCTGGGTGAACTCAAGGAGTGTCAGACCGAGAAGAAGGAGCTCGAGAAGGAGGCTAAGAAGGTTGAAGCTGAACTCGAAGAATTATCTCAGATCGAACCGAAGCTGCGCGACAAAGTATCCAGAACACGGCAGAAGGCTGATGAGGCACGATCCAGCTTATCGCAGAATCAGAACCGCGGCAATGTCCTCACAGCTTTGATGCGCATGAAGGAGTCGGGCAGAATCGACGGGTTCCATGGTCGCCTCGGAAACCTTGGCATGATCGATGAGAAGTACGACGTTGCTATCTCTACTGCATGCGGCGCGCTAGACAACTTCGTCACGGACACCGTGGAGGCGGGCCAGCAATGCATCGAGTATCTTCGCAAGACCAACCTGGGCCGCGGAAATTTCATGTGTCTAGACAAGCTACGAGTGCGGGATATGCAGGCCATCCAGACGCCTGAGAATGCCCCTAGGCTATTCGACCTCATCAAGGCCAAGGATGACAAATTCCGTCCCGCCTTCTACCACGCCCTTCAAGATACTCTGGTAGCAAACGATCTCGCACAAGCGAACAGAATCGCTTACGGTGCTAAAAGATGGCGAGTCGTCACACTGGACGGAGAACTTATCGACAAGAGCGGTACTATGTCTGGTGGTGGCAAGACTGTCAAGAAAGGTCTTATGTCTAGCAAGCTCGTGGCTGACACAACTAAGGAGCAAGTCGCCCAGCTTGAAGCCGACCGTGACAAATATGAAACCAAGTTTCAGGACTTCCAAGAGCACCAGCGAGAACTCGAGACGCGGTTGCGATACCTGCGAGATCAGATTCCGAAATTAGATACCAGGATGCAAAAGATTGGACTTGAGGTCCAAAGTGCAGAGAAGAATCTTGCAGATGCTCAGCGACGTGTCAAGGAGCTTGGAAAAG